ATGTTCCCCGTTGTAGTCGAATGGCTGTCTCTCCGAGCAAGTTGCTGTGAAGTGCCGAAAGAGGGTGTCTCTGTCGATCGGGCAAGTGGTGTCGCTCGGGGCTGTGGCGGCTGCTGGTGACGCCCCCCGTAAGATCTCCTCCACGCACGCGCTCTCATTCTGTGCGAAGAGCTTGCGGAGCCGCGCCCGCTTCATCACCGATCGGATGCGCCCGACTCGGCGGCGAGCCTTGCGGACCCTGTCCTGGTCTCCCGGTGTCTCGCGTTGTGCTGATTCCATGGAGTCGAGAGCTTCGTCGAGCCTGTGTTCGAGCTGTCCCTGCGAGGTTCTTGTCGGGCGCCGGCGGCGTTCTGTCTGGTTCCCGCGCTGTGGTCTGGTCGATGGTGGTCGATGCCGTGGGGGAGGCAGCACCGCGAACGGTAGGAGCGCCTCTCGTAGCTTGGTCGGTATTGCTGCTATGTAGCCCTCGCCGGTAGCCCAGTCGTCCACGTCCGCGATCTTCGACGCTAACTCCGTGGAGATGCGGGTCACAGCCGAGGCGGCTGGGTCGAATTCATCCTCCGTAAGGTGGCGGAGGCGAAGGCGAGGTTGCTTGGCAGGGGCAGAGTGTGGACCAATAGGTATCGTAGGAAAAACCTCCCCGCCGTCTCGCGCTGCCACCTCGGCTTCATCCTCCATCTCGGTCTCTGCGTATCCATCCGGCATGGCAGCAGGATGCACAGGGGGAACCGTTGCGTCGCTCGGTGGCAGGCCAGTCAGGTCTGGTGATGGTAGCGTCGACGGGCGGAAGCACTGCTCAAGCGAGCCGTCGTGTGGTCCGCATTCCGTTACCGTGTGCTTGAGGTCGAGAGCTCGGTTGGCGAGGCGGTCAGCGTACTGATTCGCCTTCCGGTCGATGTGCATCAGCCGATGCCAGTCGAGCTCTCGGAGGACGCGCTGTACGCGATTCCGGAGCGCACGGAGACGCTTGTTGCTGCAGGCGAAGGAACCTCGAACTTGTGACAGTATCAGGTGGCTGTCGCCCTCGATACGCAGGCGTCTCGCTCCGTGGTGGACCGCGCTCTGGGCACCTAGTAGCATCGCAGTGTATTCCGCAGTGTTATTTGTTTCCCTTCCAGTCATGTAGTGCGCTACCGTCCAGACGATCTTGCCATTCGGTGCGAACAGTGCTGCTCCCGCTCCACCTGGGCCTGGGTTGTGACGGCATGCGCCATCGAAGCGCAGTAGCCAAGGTTCGTCGTCTGCAGAGGTCTCCGGGGTAGTGTTCACTACTGCCGGCGCCGGTGGTAGTTGGTGTGTATCGACGGGGGTTGGGCGATGCGTTGGTGCCGGAGCAGTCGGGAGACCCGTAACCAAGTGAG